TAACATTTTATCTTCTTTCTGAGGAAGTCCCAGCCAGCTGATTGTGCCGCAGTCCTTTAGGTGAGGCCTTAAGGAAAGCTTCTCAGCTGATGTTAATGCACAGAATATCACTGTCCCTTTCCCAGCTGAAGATCAGCTGGGCCCTAAATATATACACCCCAGAGCTATTTGTGCAAAGAGCTAAGCTGAAGTCTTCCCCCTCCAGCCGCAGGCTGCGACTTCACGAGCAGTGCTATTTTGGTGATTTCTCACATTCTAGAAAATGCTTTCTAAAAGGGTCAGTATTTAGATGGCTAATTTCCAGTTGACATCAATGGGAGTTAGGCAGCTAAACCCCTTGAGGATCCTGGCCTAAACAATTTAGGAGCCCAAGTCTTTGCTTTTAACTGGAGGGGGAGTCTACCTTGGATGCATACATGTGCAGCCCTCCACATATAGAGCCATACAGAGAACAACAGCATAAATCAGTACTCCAGTGTCAAGCCAGTAAGCCTGCGCATGTGCCATTCATTCTGCCCCTGGTACCCACAGATGAGATGTTTTACTCGATTGTATCCTGCAACAGTCGTCCAGTCTTGGGTACAGCCGCACGTACCCATGTGACATCTTGTCACACTTCTTCTTTCCTCTTCTTCAGGGTCCACTGGTTCTCTGCCGAGAACACTTTATAGCCTCTTCTATTCTCTGCAGATCAGTTTTTGAACCGGATGAGCACCGACTCCCCCACATATTAGTAATTGCATGGGGTTTGCTTTCTGCATTTGATTTGCAGCTCCCCACCATCCACTGTAACACTCGTGCCCAACCTTCTGGCCCCAAGGGCTGGATGAATGGCATGGGGTCACTCCACAGGCTGGATACCAGGTGGAGCTGGCACATAGGGTTGGTCCAGGGGTGCAATCCTGCATGCCCAGATCCAGCCACACACTGGCCCGAACCCATGCATCCAGAATCAGCCATGCTCTGGTACAGTTAGGTGTACAGGGCCTCATTATTTGGCCCTCAGGGCTCCCCATGGGTCAAGAAGTTTGGAAGCGCCAACTAGTGCAGTCACTGCACCAAGTTTCTATACCACTGGGCAGTCCCCACAAGCCAGATGACAATCAGTAGGCTAAATCTGGCTCGGGGGTTGTGGGTTATTCAAGGAGAGGAGGCAGAATTCACAGATCTGAGAACTTGGGTTAGCTCATGCATAGGTAGAAGACCATTCATTACAACACCAGACCCTACACGTACAACTCATGAAGGCAAACGCTGTATTTATGTTTACTGCCCATCATGACTCTACAGGTTAGAAACTGTACTGAGAGCGCCCAAATTCTGCAGAAATTAGTATTTGGCCTCTATTCTTGCCAGGGAAAACATCCTGCCTGCTAACCAAACAGACTTTTCCACGTACGTGTATGGCAACTTAGGGCAGAAAATGTTCTGTCACTGCCCATGTTGAAAAAGTATCTTTGCCCCTTGCAAATGTTTCACCGAGATGAGTAATATGCTGGTTCAACCAGAAAAAAAAAAAAAACTACCTCTGAAAAGGGGTAATAATTAAAATGATGGGGAGGAAAAATGTTGGCCCTAGCTGCACGTGGGAGGAGGGCCAGAGGCCAAATCTCATGGCTTTGATCTTGCAGGTTGGAAGACCATGGAAAAATGCTTTGCTAGCACCAAAGAGCCATATTAACCAAAGAGCGGGGGCAGACCCATCTACAGATGTGAATCCAGCACCAAGCAGCCAGCCACGAGCAACCCCTGAGAGCACCAACCTCCCCCTCTCTTCTAAACCCACAATCGAAGGCCACTTCCAAAATGAGGCCGTTATAGAAAATCATTACTGATACGCCAAGTGGGCTCTCCCAATTCAATCCAACCCACGCTGAGGATTAAACCAGGGAAACGATTGTTACCAAAAACCAAACCCGTGATGTTTTCCTTATAGCATGGCATTTTAGAGAGTTACTTACAGTCATGGTTGACCATTCCCAAAGGAAAGGTCTTCAAGTGACATTTACTTTTTCTAGATCGCCTTAACTCGGGAAACTAAAAGGCTGCCTGCAGATCCCTAGACAAGGCCTTTGAGGCCAGGTTCGCGGGAGAGGGCTGTCAGCCCTGCCATTCACTTCCCTCTTGCTTCAGGGGTCCGCTAGCCTCTGAAACATGGCTTAACCCCCACCTGCTTTATTGAGGCCTTTGCCTCCAGGTGCAATTTCAAGGCAGGGTTGCCTTGACAGCTTTGTTCATCAGGTCTGGGTTGGGACAGCTGAGCATTGCACTCAGCATCCAGGGATGCAGCAAATAAATTGCTTTCTCTGCAGTTTCCCCATCCTGGCACGCTCCCCTCCAGCTGCCCTGTTCTTGGCTACCCGCCTCCTTTCCCATACCTATGCTGAAGAAGCATATGGGCAGAGCACTTTGCTTGCACAGCTGAGCTGGCATCTTGGGCGTTTGGCTAGATGTGGAACAAGCGTCCCGGCATCCCGGGGCAGCACCTCCACCCACAACACGCCCTGTACCTACACACCAGGATCTCCACCTTCCCGCACCACCCAGCAATTATCTGCTGTGCTGGAAAGTATGCAGCCCGCAGCACGCACAGCGCTGCACTATTTAAAGGGACGCATGGACATAAACTGCGACAGAGGAGATTCGGGTCCCTAACTGCGAGAGCAATTAAGCACGGGGACAAAATTGTCTACAGAGCTTGTGCAATCTGTCACTAGAGGTATTAAAAGTGCAAGTTAGATGAACACTTTCCTGGATTTGTTAGATCCTGCCTGGAGCGGGGAGAGATCGCATCCAGCCCTTTTGCTGGAATAATAAAGGCAAGGGGTGTCCTTTAGGCTATTTTAAGGGTAGGGGTGTTCGTGCCTCTCCAGCTCTTCCTCTTGCTCCACATACATCACAGCCCCCAAACCTACAGCCTATACTCCTCTGGTCTTGAGTAGTAGCGAGTGCAGGACAGGATACATCACTAGTGGAAGGATCTGCATGGTTTCTGTTGCAGAGCAGCCCCCTCTGCCCTGCACAGGAGCCTCTCCTAGGACTGTCCTTTTACAGCAAGGCTGGCTTTACAGGACTACCGCAGTTAGGAGTGTGTGACTAGGGAGTCCTACCTCCAAACCACAAAACTATGTCAGCAGAAACCTGGGTTTGGATGCAGTTCATACTGGCAGGAGAGTGCTATGGCCACACTCGCTGTTTTAGACAACTGAGAGTATTTTTTTTTGCTAGTATAAAGTTGCATCTCCACTATGAGCGGCCCCCGGGGCAGCAAGCCCTTTTAAGTGCAGACAAGCCCAGAGAGCTTGGGAAGGGCTTGGGAAAACTGGTTCTGCTTTGTGGTGGTTTCTGTCTTGTGCTCGCGCCCAGCATCCTGTGTTCGGCTTCACGTGCTCTGTGAGCAGCAGATGCATCCAAGAGCACAACTGTAGATACAGCGCGCAACTACACTCTACTGTGCTGTACAACCACCAGTAGCAACGGGAGCTTTTCCCTGGCTGTCTAATCCCCTCCAAGTACACGTAGAAGGCACCAGGGAAAGAGTGCCAAGAGCAACACAACCACGTTTTCACTAGTAGGTCTACTGGTGCAACGATGATGGGAAGATCCCTTCCCTTTCCCAAATTCTAGCACAAAGAAAGCCCCCAGATGTTGCCACCAATGTTCTGCAGTGAAGCATCTCCCGATTTGCCCTGGCGAGCGATGCCAACATATTTTAGAAAAAAAGCAAACGCACACAGTAATAGTTTCATAAACAAGCAGTCCTCGCTGCCAACCCGTACGTTGCAATCCCCTAGGAATCTAAAACAGCCTGACAAAAAAAAACGTTGTTAGTGGTAAAACCCAGCCAGCCCTGTGCAACTTGAACCAAAATTTAAGCTTTCAGAGCATGCCGTTCACATTGCTACCATCTGACAGTGTCTGTGGGCTCCTTGATGCGTTTTGTATAGACTAGGCATGGAGGATGAGATGTTATGCGCTGGGACTCGGAGCCTACTGAGGTTTCTGCACGCGCTTAGCTTTGTGTGCTGCAAATAAACCGGCTTCAGGCTGGCGACTCCCAAGCACGCTTCACCACATGCACTGAGTTTGCAAGATGGGGTCCCACTGGCTGCTGAGGGGAGTGGAAACGACAAGACTTGATGGTTTGGTCGACGCTGGGAAACTCTGGCTGGCTGCGTCACGTCTGTCTGGGGTGCGATTCATTATGTTTTTTTTATATCCTAGCATGGTCAGAACGATACTGCACGCAAGTGCTTTTGTCTGTAAAAAACTTAATGCATTTAGGGACTGGGCATAAGTTACATCGGCAAAAGCACTTTCCGGCCAGTAAAAGCTGCATCTTTCTGCTAGAAAAGTTTGCCGTTATAACTGCACTGCTGCTGCTATCCCACCAGATCTCCTCTACTGCAGGCCACAGACATGGTAGTTGGGAACTGAGAAACGCCGTCCATAAACCTGCGTCCTTTAAAAGGCCAACAAGCAGCAGCCGCCGCCTCACCCCTTCTCAGACCCTCGCCTCGGACACAGCCAACCCCTTGCACAAAAAAGCGTGACAGGGCAGGCGTGTCGAGAGATGCGGAAGGAAAACCTCTGCCGACACAGGCCGGTGTTGAAACTTGGCTTACGACACCCCGGTCTGTAACCAGCCATAAATATGGAGGGCTTGTATTTGAGGCAGGTCCTGAACACCCCCCCGGCAGCTCCTAAATATGCAAGCCAACGTGGTTTTGTTAGCCTCCCTGGCCACTTGATGGGCTGCTCGCCCCCTCCCAGACAGCAACCGTAGCCCAATGCACGGCTTCCACCAGCGGGGAAGAGTTCACCCCAAAGTCTTTTTTTTTTGGGGGGGGGGAGATTTGATCCAGACCTCAAATGGCAGCACGGAAGGGGAGCAAACGGTTGCATGCAGCAGACTCGGGGAGGCCGGCACCCCCTG